TAATACATCAATACAATCACGACAAGTTAAAATAATTTAACAAAAAAACATAATTTTTCTTCAACATAATAAAATCATTGAAAATAATATATTTTTTAAAATTTTTATGAACAAAAAAATTATGTTGTGGTATAGTTGACTCGGCAATATAATTGATGAATTTGTCAATTATTAATATATAACTATAATTCTATATACATTAGTTAAAAGAGACATGAAAAATGTTAGAGAAAAATATGTTGCAAAAGAGAGAATAGAAGCTATCATCAAGATTAAAAAAAAATTAAAAGGGTGAAATTATAATTTCTAAATTTATCATATTTTATTTAGTTGTGATATTGTGTTTATGGTATAACTTTAATAAAGTTATGAGCTGAATTAAATTATAATTGGTTGAGTCACAAATTAATTCATTATTTATCTTTCTTTCTTTTAATTTTACTTTCTGAATATGGGGCATGAATAAAATTATGAAAAATGTTCCCATAATTTTTGTTAGATATATTATGCTATATGTTTTGGGAAGTAGCCATATGTCGACCGTATTAAAAAAAAATGGATTTGCCCATGATTCTAACAAAATATTTTTGTTATATTTTTTATTGAAATAATTCAAATGAGAGGAATAACATTTAAATATTCGTTAGAATTGGTATTAATTTTTTAGTTAAATATTTCATTACTTTCTAACAAATTTTTTTTACTTTCGAAATACTTAATATTTTTTTATTTGTTATCCTTTTATATGTAATACATCACATCATTTCTTTCCAATGATGTTTGATTTGACAATTTATTGTAAATAAAATAAAAATTACAATTATTTTATAACGATATAAAATAATATACATATATATATATATATATATATTATCAATACCAATTAAAAATAATAAATGGACCTAAAAGTATCTCATAAAATAGATTATAAATCTATGTTAAATAAATTTTATTAAGTATAATTAACATAAGATAAACATGTGGATATTTTTCTTACATAGATTTAAAATATTAATACTACGAAAAAAGTAAAAACTAGATGTAAACTTACAACTATTGTCAATTTTAATTATGTAAATTAAAAAGAGAAATAAATGAGTAGTATGCTAAACTATTATTCAATACTTCTTCAAAGGGAATACCATAATCGTTGTAACATATATTTTCAATGAATATGAAAATGAGTTAGTTACATTATGTTTTATCAAAAAATGAAAAAAAAATGTGAACTTTTTAATCTTATAAACAGTATAAAAGTACAATTTTATCAAATATATATTATTATAAATAAATAAATAATATTAAATAATATTTTATCTTATGTGATTATAGTTGTAGCCAAATAAATAAGATACTTTGATAACAACATAATTATATAAGATGTGTAAACAAATTAAACAATACATATAAATATGCCCTAATTCTTTTAACAAATAAAATATTATCTGTGAATATAATAAGAAACAAATAAAACAATATTAAGGCAATGAGAAAAAAGAA